ACGCAATGCTATGTACAAGACCTGATATGCTTATGCTGTAAGTGTTGAGCAGATATTAGTCAAACCCAGGGAGAAACATTGGTCGGTTGTAAATCGATCCTTAAGTACTTGAGAAGACTAAGGATCTAGTTTGTTATGGATGTTCAGAGTTAAACATTCAAGGATACTCAGATTCTGATTTCCAATCAGATATTGATATAGAAAGTCTACGTCGGGTATATTTTATATGTATGGGAGGTGATGTTAGTTGGAAAAGTTCCAAACAGATAACCACAGTTGACTCCACTACAGAAGCTGAATACATTGCCACTTTTGAAGCAGCGAAAGACTTTTGGATGCGAAAGTTTGTAATTGAACTTGGTGTGGTTCCGAACATGCTTACCTGATAAGCATGTTCTGTGACAATACTAGAGCTATTGCACAGGCAAAGGAACCAAGGGCACACCAAAAATCCAAGCACATTCAGTGTAAGTATCACATTTTGAGAGATTTGTTGGAGCTGGAGAGATTATGATTCGAAGACTCCTTCAGCAGAAAATGTAGCTGATCCACTGACTAAGGCGATGACACTGAAGCAATTAGACCATCATCTTGAGAAGATGGGTATGAGATACACATCGAATGGCTTTAGTGCAATGAGGTTTGTTAGTGTATATTAGTGTATGCCCTAGAAACCATTCGTGTTGTCGATTTCAGAGCATTTTGTCTTGTATCTAATTTATCATAATATGGAAGAAAGAGTTCTTCAATCATATATATAAATTGCTTCCTTATTTAGTCATGCATTAAAATAAAGTATGTATATGAATTATCCAGATGATTCATTAAATCGGTAAATAATTATCGAAAAGGGTTCCCTACGAAAGCAATATAATTTGGCAACTATATTGCACAGTAGGCATATCAGTGCTTCCGAAAGATATCATGAGTTGATATAATACGGAAGACGATGATAGTCATGTCACTGGGCATTGGTATGGATTAACGGTTGGTGAACTGTTTTTCGAATGTGACCGAGTAACGACAAATCCTTAGAAAAGCAAGTAGTCAATGATTTATTGTTTAGTTATATCAGTGCACGATGTAGTCCTTTGACCTGAGACATTGTAGTCGGATCTGATACGGATGCGTATGGTTCATACGGTGTATAAGTACGAGACTAATCATGTTTCGTATAATAGCCTATTTGGTCAATCATTGTTCATATGCGGAAACGATTAGGGTCAAGAGGGGATCCATTGACTCGAAAATATGGATCGGGAGTACCGCTGACTCCATCCGGATTCGAGTTCCTAGACGAACGTTGATAAATGTCAAAAAATAAATCTCTGGCCAGAGTCTATTATTAGTCACACAAAAGGAAGTTTGTGAGGACGAGTTCCGGACATATTGATCGACGATTCGGTAGAAGATCGAGTTTAGGATTTTGACGTTCCATGAATCCATGCTTGATAAGGATATTTCATGGAGGGACTTTACTTGCATGTTACGTATGATCTGAAATGGTTCGATGAAGTATTTCTCATCTGTTTAGGGACTGATCACATTGCTGATGTTTACTATAGTCGTGGGCCTCCAGACAGGTTTCCAGATTCATCCAGAACCAACTCACGACTAATCCATGGTGACCTATATGGTCACACCAATAGCCTTGGAAGTTAGAGAATGATGAGAGAGAGAATGATTATCCGAAGAGGGCTAGCACCTTCCAAGGGTAATGACGGGATTTCTATAGTAATAGTTACATAGAAAATTGTTTGTGACATTTTAAGGGTTAAAATGATCAAGCAATAATTAATTATATTTATTATAAAGCGTTAAGATTAATGGAATGACAAAAATAACCTTTTAATAGTTAAAGGGTAACAGGGTAAATTTATGGGTTGGTAATTAAAACAATGTTCTCCTAAGGATAATGGACAATAACATGTTAATCGGACCCAACCTAAAAGATTGGCTAAGAAATCTTAGAATTGTTCTAGATTTTGAAAGAATTGCTTATGTCCTGGAAGCACCTCTTCCACTTGATATTGGATCGGATGCTCCACAAGCTGAGCTTGATGCTCTTGAAAAGTGGAGAGAGGATAGTAGGAGAGCTAAAAATTACATGCTAGCCTCCATGAATAGAGAACTTCAAACGAAGCATGAACAGGTTTCAAATGCTTATGATATCCTCATAGCTCTACAAGAGTTGTACAACGAAAATCAAAGAGTGGTTGAGTATGAGTTATGTGCATCCCTCTTTAGCATGAAGTTGAGGGAAAGGGGTACCTCCAGATGATCATACTCTTAAGATGATTAATGGATTAGGTCGACTGGATAGATATGGGGTGGTTATGCCAGACTGCCTCAAAGTGAATTTGATTCTACAATCCCTTCCTCCAAGTTATAAACCGTTTATAACTAACTACAATCTCAATAGGATTGAGAGAAACTTCTCTGAATTGCTAAATGAGCTTAAATAATTTCACAGGCAAAATGTGAAAGGGAAAGGACATGAGGATGTCTTTGCCGCCTCCACCAGCAGGGCCAATAAAAGGCCTAAAAAGCTACCAAAGAGAGGTCCAAAAGTTGGACCCAAGAATAAGAGCTTGAAGAAGCCGGCGACAAAGGCAGAGAAGGCCAATGCAAAGGGAAAGTGTTTCCACTGTGGAGAAGATGGACACTGGAAGAGGAACTGTCCTCAATACCTGAACAATCTAAAGAAAGGCAAAGGAAAAGCAGGTAAGAACCAATGTCTTATGATTGAATATGAATTAAGTGTTAATTCAGATAGTCATTCCTGGATATTAGATTCAGCAGCAACATCTCATGTTTGTATATCTTTGCAGGTACTTCAAAATAGTTCTGAGGTGACAAAGGGCGAGATCATTTTGAGGATGGCAAATGGGGCACGAGTTGTAGCAGAGGCCATNTGGGAGAGGATTCCGAGGGACGCTATGAGCATGAAGGGATGTTTTAATTATGAGTATTGAATGGTTTTGCTAGTATTTAGTGTAGTAATTATGTTTATATCTCATAATGCAGTAAATATGTCCATGTTATTATGGAGTATATATGTTTGTGTTAATAAAGGAAATCAAATTGCTAGTAAATTTTGTAAAAGTGTGTATGTTCTAGTAAGTACTACTATGGATTTCATAATTTACTCCAAGAAAAGAAACTATATTTTTTTACTTGTAAAATGACCTTATTATAGTTTAGAAATTAAATTAAATTAAAAATATATATATTTTTAAACTACAGGTTTATTTTTTAAATAAGATTTTAAAATAAACTTCTTTCCTAGGTGTGCGTTTTCTAGGTTCTCAATGGCCAAGGGATACTTAGGAAATACTCGGCCAAGGAGGGGTTTTACAGGGTAACTTATGTGAAGCGTGGCTGATTGAGGTTCAGTTGGTGCGCGAGTTGCTCGTTTCGAATCTCAGCCACGTTTTGTTGCACCGCCTATGCAACCATCGTCCTTATCATTTCCATCAGTTGGCCATTCTTGAGATTAGATGTCTCTACCCCCAGCTGATTTGTGACCTGCTATGTCGACAATATTAATGGTCAACGCCCGACGACGTCTTGATGCACCTCCTAGTGGGTGGCTTCCACATTGTTGTGGTTTCCAGTGGTGGTTTTTGATATGATACGAACCATTGTAAGCCTTGAGTGATCGGATCACTGAGATTGTTTGCCATAAATTTTGAAAGTAGGTGGGGCCCCTCCTTTTAGAGCCAAAATGTTGATGCAAAATTTACACCAACTAGAGTGATCCGATAGACCTTGGTGAAATCGGAATGGATGTATGTGTGATTAAAGATAGCCAACAATTTAATGAATATAAATGCAGAAAAAGTAAAGAACACATAAGATTTTTTAAGTGGTTCGGCAAGTTTGAATCTTGAGCCTACATCCACTGTTTTTCTTATTTGCTTAGAGAGCTTATGTTGGGTCAAGCCAGGTCTCGACTAGTTTACGCTGAGTCGAACAATCGCTTGAGCCGAACTGATTCTGGGTCAGACTATAACTTTACGGAGTTCTGACTTCTCCGAGCTTGATAGGAAAATCACACACAACACTTATAATTGCAAAGAATTTTAAAATTTAATGGATATAAAATCTAATGTAAAATTTTGATTGATAAACAATTATATAATTGAAATTTCAATTTCTCGTAAGAATCTAGAATGATTAGATATGAAATAATAACAAATAATTATAGTTATAATTTATAATTATATTTACTGTGAAAATTTTTGTATTTAAATTTGTCTATAATAACTTAAGTTATACAAATCCAGCAATTTTTTTTAATTCATCTCATTGCATAGTGGATTGAATAAGTTTTGTTTGTGACTGGCATAAGTTGTAATTTTAACATTAAATGATGGCTTACTTTGACGTATTATGTAATTAAATGAATAAGATATGAGTTTTTATGGAACAGGTTTTGAAATAACAAAGGATTCCACTTGTTCTGGGTGAATTATCCGAAAGTCTTATGTTTGAGTCTTATAAAATAATTATCTATTATATTTGTGATTTATATGATCCATTGGGCTTGTAGAATGTTCAATCAACATTCCAATTATTAAAAAGAAGATTCCACCTGCTGCTCTTAATAAGCTGACTGAGGGAGGAGAGATGATGAAGGTGATTGCCCAATTTGCCTTTAGCATTCTCTCATAAGATAGTTAAATAAATAAATACTAAGTGATATAATAACATAACAAAATAAAGTATTATCACGTCACTTTTATATATAATTTTGTAAAAAAAATTATGGTGAATATTTTCTAAAAAAATATTAATAATAATCGTCAAATGCTGTGCATATATCTTTTTAATCCGTAATCACTAGAAATCACTATTATAGAAGAAGAAAGCAAAACAAAAAAAAAAAAAAAAAAAAAAAAAAAAAAATATATATATATATATATATATAATCATCATCATCGTCCTTAGGCACTCCTTTGCCAATGGCCAAACCATCTTCCATTCGTAGATTTTAAAAATCACAACAGTTGCCATTCTTATTCATTGAACAATCACCCTCTCAAAGCAAAAAACCATCGTCTTCTGCCTATTTATTTTTTACTTCTCACACATATTTACCTACTATATCAACTATCAAAGCAAGTAATTTATCATCGTTCTTCATATTGATTCCATGCGGCCTGAGACCTGCCGACCCAACTTTGGCACAGGCGCCATCTGGGTCTCATTATTATTCTGATCTCCACCGTCTTCCCCGGAAATCTCCTCCAAGGATCGCCCTTTGGTCTCAGTCACCAAAAATGAGAAGCAAAATCCTAGCATATTTGTAAACGCCAAAATCATCATCGCTTTCCGAATTTGGTGAGTATGCCCATCTAAAGTATAAGATTGCACCCAAAAAGCTGCCACCATCGCACCAGCCTTCCCTGAAGCTGCACTCAGCGCGTGACACGTGGACCTCAAGCGGGTCGGGAACAACTCGGCTGGAAGTACGAATGTCGTACTGTTTGGACCAAAATTCGCGAAGAAGAATGTTAGTCCGTACAAAAGAGCGAACAGCCAGTGAGCATCCTGCTTGAGATAGTCGTATTTTATGCCGATAACAAGCATAAAAATGGACATCATAAAGAAGCCCATGAGTTGGATCTTGAACCGGCCCATTCTTTCAATGAAGAAGACTGTGAACCAGTAGCCAGGGAATGTACCAAACAATGCAATTACAAACATGGCACGTGAAACCTCGTAGACTTCTCCGAGAGCGCTAACTTTTTCCGCACTGTGTGTTAGACCAATGGCTGGGAAAATGTCCTTCTGGGTTAGGTTTTGACTGTAAAACGCTATGTCCAACAAGAACCATGTGGTCATTGTGCCTATCAGATGGTAGCCATGGCGTTGAAAGAACTCGCTGGAGAATAATTTGTATTCGTTGGCGGCCTTAAACTGTGACAACTTATCTTGATCAACTTCGATTTCAATGTCGAGAACTCGACCCATGTCAGCCGCTGCTTGTTTAGCATTTCCTTCAATCAAAGCAGTGTAACGCCCAGTTTCGGGCATTTTCATTCGCCAATAGAAAGTCAGAATGGCCGGTAATGCACCGAGCATTAATACAATCCTCCAAAGAAAATCGCCCTCAGACCGTGTAGACAAGAGTCGATCGTCTTGATAATGGGGCGCTGGATATCTGCTGAGGAATATTCTGGACAGAATCATTGAAACTAACCCCGCAAAAATAATCCCAACGCCTTGCATGGCGAAAACTGCAGCAATAAACGCCCCACGAGTTTTTTTATTAGCATATTCTGACATTATCGTTGCGGAGAGAGGATAATCTCCACCGATACCAAATCCCAGCCAGAATCTGAAGAATAAGAGTGTTCCAAAAACAGCCTCTCTAGTAGCTCCAAATGATAGACCTGAGCAAATAGCACAAAACGCCATGAGAACGAGAGTGACACCGTAAACCTTTTTACGACCAAGTTTGTCACCAAGCCAACCGAAGAATAATTGGCCAGTGAGTGTTCCAACTAGGGCTACACCAGTAACTGCGTTATTAACACTAGGGGGTAGCTTTCCTGGTTTTGGATTAGCGGCATCAAAGTAATAAAGGCGTCCGAGGAGTTTTGTGACGGCGGAGATGCAAAAGAGATCGTAGGCATCGGTGAAGAAGCCCATACCGGCGATGACGATGGCTGTGACATGGTACCATTGAGTCCTAGCATTGTCGAGTGCATGAAGCACTCCTAGACTGTTGCCAGACATTTTTGTGTATGGCTTGTTTCTCCAGTGGGTTTAATTTTGTTTGTTGTTTGCTTGCTTTAGTTGTGTGCTATTTCGCTGATTATATAGAGTTGGTTCTTGGAAGAAGTGATTGTAGGATGACAACCAAATTAGGCTCGTTCATTTCTAAGAGATGGGGGAACTACAAGAAATTGAACATAGAATATCCAAAGATATTCTATTATAGCTTAGATGAAACAAGGCATATGCTCTATAATAACATAGATAAACATTAATTAAGCTTGCTTGCTTGCTAATTAGCTAGCTATACCTATTAATTATTCAAGCCAAAGAACAAAACATTAAGCTCCAAAGTCTTAATTGGCAATATCTGCGTTTAATGTTATTTATATTTTATTTTTATATATAGAGCGTAGATTTTGATTAAGATTATTCTTTGCTATTTGTGAGTATTTTGTCCCCAACAAATGAGACAAATAATATATAAAGGGTATGGTTTAGTTTTTATATAATTCTAAGAGTAAACGACTTTTTCCCACCCACGGTTTGCCCTAGCGACACTTTTCCATCCCAAAAGTTTCAACATACCACTTTCCCCCTAAAGTTTATATTCTGTTATTATCCAAAGTCGATTTCGGCAATAAAAATTCTCTCTGTCACCACTATTTGAATCTTTGGTCTCCTCTATATAAAAGCTCTCTCATTCCGACACCTGATTAATTTCTTGCTGATTGAAGGCCACTGCAAAGCTAGAGTTTCTTATTCTTAGGGTTTCCTAGAGTTTCTTATTCTTAGGGTCTCCTAGAGTTTCTTATTCTTAGGGTTTCCTATTGATTCTTGCAGCGAATATTCAATTGGTCACCATCATTCAATCTACCGGCCTCCACTCTATAAAACCTCTCTTACCTTGGCTCTTGGTAACTCGTTGAACTCCGACTGAGAAAGTGAAGTACATTTTAGATATTAATGAAATATAAATATTGAGTGGGAAAGTGGTGTTTTAAAACTTTTTGGGTGGGAAAGTGTCATTAAGGCAAACCTTGGATAGGGAAAAGTTGTTTACTCTAATTCTAAATATTTATTAAACTCGTCCTACATCAATGACCGTCTGATCGATCTTAGATTACATCACATCTCTTTGATTTTCTTGTGAATTTGATTTATTGATGCCAGGAAGCTAATAAGGAACCAAATATATCCTTCCAAGATGCGTAGATAATTTCGGACCTTCCTTGAAACTGATAGCAATCTTCAGAGTTCTGCTTAGTTTGACATGCTCTTATTTCTTAGCTTGATTTTTCTTTGTTTGTCTCTTTGCATCCTACGCCCCAACATTATTTGCTTTAATTTTTAATTTCAAGACAACTAGGCTGGAGTGTGACTTTCTCCTTTAACTTTCTTATCGATCTCCATTTACTCAATAAAAATATATTTTTTCAAAACAAATTTGATATTTTATACATACAAATTAATTACATGTCTTAAATTAGTTTAACATTTGATAATGGACTTTATTTACATGTTTGTATCAATTGTCAATTGAATCTACACCAACTTTTGCCTCCAACCAAGAGCCAGAAAAAAGAAACTTCTTGAGAATCAACGGCCCGCCGGCAGTTTATATAAGGAAACTATATATTAAACTATGTACATCAAATAAATCATCGAGATTCATTAATTAATCAGATAATTTAAATTAAACAATCTATATACTCTTGATCTAAAGTCTACATCGACTTTTTGTCTAATGATCTATTAATTAACGTCATACGAGTCATTGCAGCAATATAGTTGACATCGTTACCGAATGAATATCTTGTGCGTTAACCATATATATTAGGCTAATTAATTAACAGCATCTCGAATCCAACTATTGTTGATACAAGATTTTGCACCAACTAGAGCGATCCGATTCACCTTGACGGAATCGGAATGAATGTATACGTGATTACGGGTAACTAGCAATGTTATGGATAAAAAACAGTAAAATAATGACACAGAGAGTTTTTAAAGTAGTTTGACGAGTTAAGCTCTTGAGTCTATCTCCACTGTTTTTGTATTTGTTGTGACAGCTTACAATAATATTCCTAGAACAATTTATTAACCATTTTCTCATCGTTGGAGGGGGTTTATATACAGATTTTGTACAAAGGAAAAATCGAAAATAAAGGAATTACAATTAAAATTGAAATGCAACTCTGATATTCTCGCGATTGAGCGCTGAGATTGCGCCAAGATTGCTGTCGATCTGATCCCTTCTGAGATATCTGGGATCCGAAGTTATCTGTGAGCTAGTTGAACAGTTGTAGGGATTGGTCGCAACTAGTTTGTGATAGGTCGAGTTACATCTCGACGAGCTTATGTTGGGTCGGACAATCGATTGAGTCGAACTAATTCTGGATCAGGCTATAACTTCACAATCCTCCAAGCTTGATGGAAAAATCACACACAACATCTACCCCTTAGTGTTTGGTGCTCGTTTCGAGCTTCGAAGACTATTGCTCGATTTGATATCAAGCTCGTACTTCATCGGTTGTGCGATGAATGCAGGTATGGTCGAGCTTCATGAGTCGGACCTATCTCCAGTCGACGTACTCAACACTTTGCTTTTCCTCTATTGTGATATGCTTGACAAACTCGAAATTTGAAATAAGGGGTATATGTGTAACTTTCACGCGGTCATGTCACATTAAATGTAGTAGCCTTTGGCAGTTACTTTTTGTCATGCGTGGTAGGAGTGGGATAATCCGGTTAACCGAACCGGATTAGCAAAATTGAAAACCAAACCGGTTATTCGGTTTAGAGAAAATGCAAACCAAAACCGGACCGGTTTCGGTTATAAATTGGTTGTAAACCGAACCGAATATTCGGTTCAGTTACCGATTAACCGGTTTTCAAATTAATCCCTAAAATTCTTCAATGTTTCATTTAAGTCCCTAAATTTAAATATTTATTATTTTATATAAATAATAAACCTGTTAAAAATGTTAAGTTTGACCTTGAGGAAGAGGAAGTTGGACACATAGCTACAAAAATATAAGAATCCAAAATATGTCTACACATACGTTTCATGAACTAATGGAGGCCCTTAAGACACAACCAAAGAATCAACAGCCATTCCACTTGTCTTTAGATCAAGCTTTTCAATAAAATTCAAAGGAATCTCCTGCTATCAATCTATAAAAGAAAGAAAGAAAAAAAGAGCAGTTTCTTACTGAATCTGCCATTCAATCCTCACCAGTTCCACCTTCAAACAATAACAATGCTCTATTTCATAATTTCTAACTGGGATACAAGCTTCCAGATAAAACTCACCATTAAAATTAAAAATTGGGAGGAAGCTGAAAGTGAGCTTGACAATATGGTAAAGTTAAAGCTCTAAGGATATGGATATTTTTTGTTATTTTTGTAAAACAGGAAAAAAAAAAATTAAGAAAGAAAGAAACTCAGTTGAATGGTGCTACTGCTGGACTGTCGGCGAAACGCGAAATGGATGCTGAATGGTGCTGTTGCTGGACTGTCAACTCACTGTGGGTGGAGCTGCTAGGTGTTGTCGAAGGTGAAGTGCAAAGAATGAAAGAAATGAAGACTTGAAGATGGAATGGAGTGGAATGGAGTGAGTGGAGTCTGCTGTGTGGAGTGTGTACTGTGCAGATTAGAGCTTGGAACGGAGAAGAGAAGCAGAGATAAGAGAATATTGAAAAAAAAATAAGGGTTTGCTTATATACTTACTTACTTAGGGTATAAGTGTATAACCGGTTTTAAAAATCGGTCTGGTTAACTGGTTTGAGATATTTCTCCAAACCAAAAACCGAACTGGTTTTTCGGTTTTTACATTTTGTAAACCGAACTGGTTTGTAAAAAAGCCTAAATTTCGGTTCGATTTCCGGTTCATATCGATTTTTGGATTATTTCTCCCACCCCTAACGCGTGGGTGACTACAACTATCCAAGCGCGACATCAAAGCAATGTGCAGCGATGGTTATGATTGTGGTAGTCTGACGGTTATGATTGTGGCAATTTGACGGTTGATCTACCCTCGCGGATGGTTGATACATGGCCACGTCCAAAGGCCAGGATTGCTCAACAAATGAAGGGCTAAGATTCACTATAGATTGACGGCTATGGTCGAATCCCACCCTTTTGTCTCCCATGCAAACCACTATAAAAGCGGGCAACCTCGTCAGAACTTCTTCACACTTTGCAAAGTTTTCAAATTTCTTTGCTTATTCCGCCGCAGCTCTTTCATTTTCACGACACTTTTCCGGCGAGTTTCTTCCATCTTTACACTTCAGTAAGGTTTCTTTCCCTTCCTTTACTTACTTTTATGCCTTTTTGCGGTTGAGGGTGGCCACTGTCGTGGCCACATTGAGTTTTTTAGGACTTTTTTAGGGTTTTTTTATGTGTTTCTAGTGGTTTTGGGTTTAAGGAGGGTTTACGGTGGCGGCCACCAAAATCCTGGTAGCTCGCTTGTGTTAGTTGTTAGACACGAACTACTCTAGGTGCCTAAACTGAAAGCAAAGTGTGGATAAGTCACCGAATTTTTGAGCTCTGACACATGTTCACTTTTGTTTTAGGTATCCAAAGGCTAGCTTTTACCATGTCTTCATCGAGTAGCCACAACATTGATTGCATCTTTGACTATCTAGCAGGCTCAACGATTCTTGGGGATGTAATCCTTGAGATTTTCGAGGACGTCGTTGCGCGGAGCTAGAGAGCTAGCTTGAAAGGTCGATAGCTTGGGAGCTTGAGAGCTTGGGAGCTTGAGAACTTGAAAGCTTGATAGCTTGGTAGCTTGAGAGCTCGATAGCTTAGGAGCTAGAGAGCTAGCTTGAGAGCTTGATAGCTTAGGAGCTAGGGACCTAGCTTGAGTGCTTGATAGTTTGGGAGCTAAAGCGCTTGAGAGCTTTAGAGCTAGCTTGGGAGCTCGATATCTTCGGAGCTCGAGAGCTTGGGACCTTGAGAGCTACAGAGCTAGCTTGAGAGCTCGATAGCTTAGGAGCTAGAGAGCTTGAAAGCTCGATAGCTTGGGAGCTAGAGAGCTAACTTGAGAGCTTGATA